GTGTAATGTTTGCCTCGTTTGCGAGTTGATTAGAAAATATTTCGGAAGATGTGGTGGCACATATTTAACAATCGCAATCAACATGTATACAAGGTTACATCGTAAATGGTATTAGGTATTATCAAGACTACATAATAGGGATTATGTACTCTCTATTACGTAGTCTTGGTATTATGCAATGCATGTAAGTTACTCCTGCTGCATTTCTCTATCTCATAAAAAATGTCTCAACTGATAAATCCAAAAGCAACAGTTAATCGGAATGTTTATAACTTTATACACACAATCTATCATAAAATGTTGGTGAATATAGCTCCGACTTCCTTAAGAAAGAGATGGGAACGTGGCATTGATAATGCCTCGCCTGCACCGATGGAGAATATCCGGAGGCAAGAGAATTGCTTTTGGATTAATCCGTTGAGACATTTTTTGAGAAAGAGAAATATGCAGCAGGAGTAACTTACAGGCATTGCATAATAACAAGAGTACATAATAGAGAGTTAGTCCATTGGCTGAGGGGGTTTCCGTGTGCATAAAATGTCCCCTAAAATTTTATTCATTACTTTGAACTATACCATTGGACATATCAAAAAAGTCTGGGTAGACTTTTGCTACCCCGGCAGTAACCGAGAAAATGACGTCATAAGCTACGTCCATTTTCCGCTCCTCTGATTGTATGCTTAATGGGTAGAGGAAACTTAAATTGATCTATCTCCGTATATATAAATCATAGAACAACAAACTATACCCAAAATTTTTACATTTAAGTCTTCTATAATTCTGCATGTTAATTATGCAAATTAAATTATTAAATATGCAAATGAGGTCGCCAGAGGTCAAAAGGTCACAAATTCTGGTGCAAAGTGAAAATCTGACCTTGTCCAAAAAAGGTGGCCTATATAGTAGGCAATTTTCTAATTTTGAGACAAATACTGCATGAACACTTTAGATTATATCCACCCAAGCCTATCAATATGCATCTTTAACCCTTTCATGCTTCATAATGTTATACAACATCAGATAAAAAAATGTAAAAAATCGAAAGGCATATCTGTTCAATCATTTATTTCTTCTCCAACAGATGGCCCTATGCCTTCTTTGATGTAGGCCTAATCACCATAGATGGCAGCATACAACTTCCTGTTATAAAAACAAAAGAATGTAGCCCCACACAAAAATGAAAAGGTTACAATCTCTGGTGAAATGGGATCTTCATCTCCAGGCAGTTCAGGCCCTTCTTCCTGTCATGGCAGCTTTTGATTCCACTAACTACCTGAGATGGTGTTTGCTGTATTTAGAGGACATGCGCAAGCTACCTGAAACCGCACCATTCATCTTTGAAGAATTTAAGGCAGGCAAATTTGTGGTGAAGCGAACCCCTGGAAGGTTCAATGCAGTTGGAGCTGATATGGCCTTGGAACAAACCATAAATAGATCCCAAAAGAGTGCCTCTGGTATAATTGGCAACACCCGGAAGAAGAAGTTCGTAGCAATGTGGGAGCTGATCTACCATGAAATGCTGGACATCGACAATTTGCACAGGGACATGTGTGGAGTGACCAAAAACCTGTCGGAGGAAAGTGCTATCAGCAAAGCTAAGATAGCAACGGGGGAACAAAAGGTTCAAGACATACTTACAACAATACAGAGGAATGAGAATCCGTTCCAGTTGACTCCTGACCAAGTGAAACTTCATAACATTTTGACCCAAGAAGTCATGTCTGAAGATATCAGAAGCCAGCTACTTTCGGTCAAAGAAATCGGAACCAAAACCTATGACACACTTAGAAAGGAGCGATTTATTGACAAGTCAATGCGATTCTCCTCAACCATCCATAGAACTAACTTGAAGACGTTTCTCAGCATCCATAGGCCAGAAAAATAAGTCAAAGGAAAATCCTCAGGAAAAAAAGAAGACTCCCATATGAAAAGATTGATTGAGATAGCGTGTGCTCGTGGACGAACAATGGAAGAGCTGTTGCAATATAATGTGACCCCTTCGTCCTATTTGTTTGATCAAGAAGGGCTAATGACCAAACCTGTGAAAAGTGCACTGGTACAGGAACTAGAAGCCAAACTTACAAAGGATGATGGGAGAGAGCCGGCAAAGGACTCTAAAATGCAGACAGCATGTTTAGTTGATGTGATGGCCAACATTAGAAAGCTAAAAACAAAAGACCTACGGACATTCGGAGACTTCTGTGAACATTTTCTGGACTACGTCGCTGCAATCGGTCGAGGGGCTGACAGATCAGACTTGATCTTTGATTCCTATGTTGAAGGATCCATCAAAGATTCAGAGAGAAAGCGGTGTCAAGTGAAAGCACCCATTGAGATGAATATCATCAACTGCGACACACCACTGCCTGTTGAAATGGACAGATTTTGGGCATCAAGCAAAAATAAGTTGAAGCTCCAGATGCTTCTTCATGAGCACACAATAAAGCACAGGATAGAGCAACCTTCCAAACTCCAAGTTGTAGCCAGTGGCTTTTCTGGGACTCAGACGTTGTTGTCTGCCAGTGAGTCCAGGTTGGTTGTTCAGCAGAAATACCAGAACTTTGTCAAGATATTGAAGAGGCTGATGCTCTCATAATCCCCCATTCAATGCATGCAGTAAAAAACGGAGCAAGACGAATTGTTGTCCTGTCGAGTGACACCGATGTCTTCATACTTCTCATGCACTACTGGAATGTTCTTCACTCCATTGGCCTAAGTGAAATCTGGCTCAGAGCTGGTGTTGGGGATTCGACAAGATACATCCCAGTTCACACCTTAGCATCAAGAGTCGGGGTAGAGTTGTGCTATGTGCTGACACTTCTCCATACGTTAACTGGTTGCGACTATACAAGCAAGGTGGGAACAAAGCATGCGGCCTTCAATAATGTTAATCCTACCGAGTTCTTGAATGATTTTGATTATGGAACAAGCTGTAGTGAGACCATCATGACATCCTGTGTGGAGTACCTCGTACAAGTCATAAAAAAACACCAATTGCAGGACAATGGATAGACTTAGAGACTACATGTACCATCACAGTAAAGGTATATCGTTGGAGCAACTTCCCCCAACTAGCCATGCAATACAGCAGCAAATCTTGAGGGCATATTACTCAACCTACCACATGATGACTTTGTTGCCGCCTCATAAACCGAGGAAACTAGATCCTACTGTCTTTGGCTTTAAGGAAGCAGATGAAATTCTAGGGCCTGTGAAAGCTATGAGATCAATTCCTGAGGAATACACAGTCATTTGCAACTGCAAAAAATGCGGCAGCGTCAGATGTGCATGTCGCAAAAAGCCCTGACTGCCCTGCCTTAGTTTCTGTGCATGCCAAAGTGTTCAGTCTGTTGAAGAAGCTGAGCAATCTCAAAATCCATCTGGTACATTAAACTAGTCACGTGAAAAGGTGGGCTAAATTGTTGAGCTAAACCATGCACTTGTCTACGTTTGCTCGATATCAGACATAAATGCCATTCCTGCCGATGATTTAGGAATTGAACCTCAGACACTTAAGTGTTTTGATGTTTTTTTTCTTTGAGTTATGTAACACAAATGGGTCTAAAAAGGTTATTGGTCAAACACGAAATAATCAGAAGCATCTTTTCTAAGTATCCATGCTGGGTAAACCAAAACATGACACTTTGTATGATTCTTTTGGAGCATGTGATCGTCAAAATAAAATATTTTTACTTGTACAAGTTTGTTTTGACCTTTTGACCTCTGGTGACATCATTTGCATATTAATTTGCATAATCTATTTGTGTATTATAGGTGACTTAAATACAAACATTTTAAGGTATATTTTGTTGTTCTGTGATTTATAAGATATACCAAGATACAGCAATTTATGTTTTCCCTTCCCCTGAAACATACAACCAGCTGAGCGGAAAATGGACGTGCCTTATGACGTCATTTTCTCGGTTACTGCCGGGATAGCAAAAGTCTACCCAGACATTTTTGATATGTCAAATGGTATAGTTCAAAGATATGAAGAAAAATTTAGGGGACATCTTATGCACACGAGAACCCTTTCAGCCAATGGATTAAGTACATAATCTCTATTATGTAGTCTTGATAATACCTAATACCATTGACGATGTAACCTTGTTTACATGTTGATTGCGATTGTTAAATATGTGCCACCACATCGTCCGAAATATTTTCCTATTCGAGGAGAATCATAAGACAATAGTTAACACTGCTCATCTTTCTCTTGTTTAATCTATTTCAGGGGGTATGTGGTTGTACACAGACAAGACAGGGGTAGGTGAAAATGGCTACCCAGTACACTCAAGTATTTACAAGAACCTTATCTCCAACCTACCTACGCAGGCGATGGAGTTTCCTGACTTTCCCTACCCTTCTGATCTTAAAGGAAAATTCCTTCCCTGGAAAAAGGTGAGTGTTTGAGGTTTAATGATAATAACAATCGCTGGTATAGCAATTAAATATTGTAAACCTTTGCTGGAGATATTCAGTCACACATAAGTATGTGCAATTTTCCGATGAGGTTATTTTATTAAACAAAATTTCTCGATACTTTGCGCAGGTGCAGGACTACATTTTTTCCTATGCTGACCACTTCAACCTTCGCAAACACGTCCAACTGAACACAGATGTGGCGTCTGTAAAACGCATCACCCCAAAGCCTGTCTCATCAGGAGATGCCCACCAATCTCCCAACAGACCACAGTGGTTGGTGCGCACGACTGCCCTTCAGGGAGGAGGCAGCAAGGAGAAGGTGTTTGATGCTGTATTAGTGTGCAATGGGCAATGCGGCGCCCCACACTACCCAGACGTTCCTGGTCTAAAGAGCTTCAGCAGGGTATTGATGCACAGCCATGAATACCGTCATCCAGAACTCTATAAAGGTGGCGGCGGCTCGGACCGTGCGTATTATTATAGATCCGCTAGTTTAGTTAATAATTAATTTCATAATACGTAATTACATTAAAGCGAGATCCAGTGACATGTCACACAGTGGTGCATCCAGGAGGTGCTATTTGTTTTTGATATTGTTTTCTTCGTGTAACGAATTTCATCAGAACCGACTTTCGACCTACACAAGGCAAGCAAAGTGCTCAATAAATTGAGGGTTTGGCAATCTGCCACTTGACATCATGGGCGTATCTGCACTCTCATGCGTCCGAGTGGTTTATCTCACTGACCGCCACTGACGCACAAATTTGGCGTGAGAGAACAGCTGCAGAAAGGACTTCTACCAACATAAACGTGGAGAACAGAACGTACAATTCCCAGCAGCCGATCACGGTAGTGTGGTGGACGTTCACAACGACGGTTGAGACGCTCGGAACCAGACGTGATTGTCAATTTTCTGGCACCGGCTACGAGTATTCGTTCCCATTCCCGACGCCTCAGTGTGAAATGTCACTGTTAGCCGAGGTAAACGCATAACAGACCATTATCTCAAAGCAGCATGATCCACAGTAAGGTACCACAGCGCTCATGCTTTATTCACAGGCGTATATGCACCTTATCCGAGTTAGCCGCGTCTCGCTTTCTCCAGTGTTTCCGATAGCTCTGAAAATTGATTGGATGGCGTCCACTGGCGGCTCCTTAGCGAGCGAAAGAAATGAACAAGGAGACAGAGAAGCAGACTACCGCTCGATCGCGTTAGCTATGCGGGACAGGAAACGCGCCACCGCGCCGCGACCGCTCGCGACGCCTAGTTCCTCTCCCGGTTGGAGGCTTACTAACGTCATTATTGTTGATGGACATTGCCTCGGGCTTACGGGCAGACGGCCGTTGATAACTTTTCAAACCCATTTATATCGATGTGGTGTAGCATGATGTGTTTTTCGAAAATGCCACAAAATATCATTGAAGTTTTAGAGGAGTATGACTACCTTGCCCATAGACCGAAGCAGATAATTAACTATCGACACGGTTCGGCGGCGCTGAGTTCACGATGCGTCTAAACAGAGGAATTGACCTCCAGACCTGTGAGTTGGCACCGGTATCTAAAAGTAGAGGCCATACGGCCCCACTCCACCCCGCAGATGCCACAACGGTAGGAACGTGTGCTAACAGTCTAAACTTATCAATATGAAGCGAAACGATTCGAAGTTACATTCTATAAAATTATAGCGCTGTTATAGCCACATGTCTTAGGCCTTTGTCTCTGTGAATTTTGAGTCTATGTAAAGCGCAGATTTGTCTAATTATGTAGCAAATATTCAACGGCGCGGCTAATGACCGGCGAAATGAAACGTCACGCAATCGTCACGGAAACGTCACGAGTGGGCGGGGCTATTTTATCCTCCAATCACAGGTCGGAGCAATTCTCTGATTTTAGACGCATGTCTGAGTTCACTTAATGCCCGGACACACCAATGCAATCTATCGCAGACATGGCCCCAAAAGTCATGTGGTCACGTGATAGCATACTGACAATGATTCGCTGGCCATATAGACATCGGAGCGCACCAACAATCGAGACAACACAATGCGGAATATATACACAGGTGCCGCAGTCCGCAGGCGAAAATATCAAAAATGTTATGTGATCGCTGCGAATTTTTTGCGAACGGATGAAATTCGCATGCCGAAATTTGTTACCGCGCTCAAGCGGACACACACCATGCCGAATTGTCGCTGCGATTTTACAATCGTGCGGTCGTGCGAATAAATTTGCATGGTTGGTCCATTTAGACAATGAGACGTTCCCTAACATTTTCTAAGCCTTCTATTACTATCACAGCATTTATGTCTAGACGTCCCTAACATTTAGCTACCTTCTATTACTATCACAGACTTAGTAGGTCCGGCTAACCATTTCTCAACCTTCTATTACTCATCACAGTACGTCCTAGGACGTACCTAACATTTCTACCTTCTATTACTACTCACAGTACGTCTGGAGACGTCCCTAAACAATTTCTTACACTTCTATTACTATCACAGTACGTCCTGAGGTCCCTAACATTTCTACTTCTATTTATCATCGCAGTACGTTCTAGGAGCGCTCCCAGTCAACCCATCATTCTACCTTCTATTGACTATCCACATGGTACGTCTGAGGAACGTCCTAACATTTCTATCCTTTCTTTATTATCGACTCGCGCTACGCGACACGAGACGCACAACACCCCACTAGTAGGTAAATTACTAGTAGTTGATTACATTTAATTATTAATACTTAGCGAATGAATGAAATTATAACTCAAACATATTAGTTTACAACATTGTTTAGTCATAAAGAAGATCTATTGTTTATTTTAACTTGTGAAACTGCACAATAAAGGGTTTTTGGATTTGCTGCCCGTCACATAAATATCAGCCTTACGCCGCATCTTGAAATGTACTCTGTAATATCGTTTACCGCAACAAATATCACTATTTATCACCTTTCAGTTATCACTAACAAAATGTGACACCATCATTCTATTCTATTGCTAGAGGCTGCTCAAAAGACAATCTAAATTTGTCAGGTACAACCAGGCCGATAACGAAGAAATGTACACAACGTTCGCATTAGTATCACTGAGTTCAACCGATAAAAATAATTCACATAAAAAGACTTTACACTTTAGTTGTCTTTAATTCTTATTGAATCGTAATGGCACATTGCAAAACAAAGATGGTAATTCCGTTCGGTAAAATGACATGCCGAATAAATCATAACGATAACTCAATGTTGTAAGCTGACTGTATGCGCAAGGTAAGTATACAGCAGAGGACATTTACGCTCAAGGACGCCTAATGACGACTTGGAGGACGTCGGTCGGTGCAGGGACCAAGTAACTTTTCCCAGTTTTTTTTGCTTAGATTTGCCCATGACATTCAGCATTCAAAAGTTACCCTACCGAACGTCCTCCCCCTCTAGGAAGAGTTTCTTAGAAGCTGCTCCATATGATGGAATTTGAAAAACAATATCAGAACAGACAATACAATTCACAAAATATGTATTAGAAGTGGTCGCATTAGTACGTTGGCCCAATGGCTGTCGCCACGAGTCAATTGCGTGCTCTATATTGAGGTACTGACTGGGAAATGTAGACCCATGGCGAATGACATTTAACGCTACCATTCTTAGAACAACTACGATGGCTAGTATATGAGAGCACTTCTAGCGGCGACCGAGCACAAGTACGTAGTAGCTGTGAGCTGACTTTCGTGTAACAAAAGCGTTCCCTGGTCGCAGAAGAAGCGACCCAGGCAGCAAGTCGCGTAGTAGTACGAAAGCGGTGCTAAAGCTTGTGGAGAGCGCGGCAGGGGGGGGGGGGGGGGGGTATGAAGAGAAGTGTAAGTGTTTAAAAATTATGCTTTAGAATTAAAATTAAGCAAAAATAAGCAAAAACGTAGCGCGATTCCGTTCATACAAAGACGATATAAAACACAATTGATCGATGTACGATGTCGCTCAAGCTTTAGCAGTTATACTTAAGTCAAGTATTACAATTGAATTTTATAATACGCACGTTTGAAGGGTGAGAATACGCCTTAAAATACCTGTCTCGTATATAGTCATGTGTTTAAACATCTAGTATCGCCAGCTGAACCACATAAAGCGTTTTTCCTAACGTTATGTGTCTGGTTTATTTTGGTTTTGTTTGAATTCAAACCGTTCTAGAGACTTCAGTCGAACGTTGATAAATAAATAAAGTATTAAGTTCTGACAAACGTTTGTCGCAAACGTTGTGTCAACCCCATTTTACGTTTTGCTATAGTGCGCGAAGACTGGTTTACTGAGCAAACGTTAAGCTGATAAAGCGTTGCCACTAAACCATCATTAAACGTTTTTAAATAGTTCCAAATGGGTTAGAAACAAACCGCTTACTGCACACCTATTAACAAACTACTACTGAGCTGAACGTTTATCTAGGGTTCCGAGGTGGGTGAAAAATAAACTTTATTATTAACTTTGTCGGTAAACATGAACAAAGCGTTAGTTTTGAACCCTACACTAACCATCATTTAACGTTTTTTATTATGGTTAGAACAAACGTTAGCTGGCGCACCTATTTACAAAACTAGTACTAAACGTTTATCTAAGAGTTCCGAGGTGGTGACAAATAAAGGTTATTTATAAACTTTGTCGCGAACCATTTACAAACGTTTAGCATGAACGTTAACAACCCATTAATTTAAACTGTTTTTTATATGGGTTAAAGAAACAACAACGTTTCGCTGTACATCAATAAGGTTGTGAAATGTTCCCCTAAAAAACGCTTGAAAACCAACTTTATTTACTGTTCTGCATTACCAAGCCTATGTTTCATGGTTCCTGACAAACCGATTTACCAATAACTAAACTTTTATATTCATATTTACGCGGGGCGCGCACACATACTAAGCATGCACGCCACACACGCCACGCATGTACATGGCCGGCAGCAGCGGCACGCATACCCACGACGGCCACACCATATCACAGGCCACGCACACTTAGCGCGCGCACACGACGCACACACACAATAGCACAAGACACACATGCGCCGCACGCACGCACGCACGCACGCGCACGCAACGCACACATACACACACACACACGCGCGCCGCGCGCGCAACATGTATTATGTTGGTCGTACACCAAGCCGCGGCTGTGATAGTGAACCACACTCTGACCCCCCATACACACATACACAACTCGACCGCCCTGGCACGTACGTTCGCGATAACCATTATGCCTCGCGCTGATTACCTAGTCTGAAACTGGGTCGCGTCCTATTAGCGGGCGTGCTTCTGATAACGCTAACAGCCAAAACGGGCAGGAGCCAGTCTACGCACAGCGCGCGTAACTCATAACGGACGCCGTACAAGTGGGAATATATACAGTCAGAAAGTGTTCGAATTGCGGCCAAGCCGGTTGTCGAGGCACAAGTATACTGCATGGACCAAGGTACTAGATATATATGTTGTATTACTCCTCATAATAGTTATTATACGAGTTTCTCTGGTTAGCGTATGTGTTATCATATTGTTTATGTTCATGAATTATAGCTAGAAGTAAATTGCCTCCGAACAGGCTGCATTTCAGTTGGTTGTATATAGGCAATGTAATAGCCTCTAGAACTATAGCCTTTGCTCCGCCACAGTCCGTGCCGAACTGCGAAGGCTATAGTTCTAAGAGCTAGGCACTGTACTGAGTACGGGCAGTACCGCGCGCGCGGCGTGCGTGCGTGCTTGTGTGTGTGTGTGTGTGTGTGTGTGTGCGTGCGTGCGTGCGTGCGTGCGTGCGTGCGCGCGCGTGTATGTGAGTGACGAGTCATTACATGATTATGTATTCATACTGGCTGGCCTGTTCTCTTTTGGAACAGACTGGAGTTGCTTCGCATAGGAAACGTCTGAACTCGTGCTCCAGCTGAGAAGCTGACTGCTGAACTAGAAAGCAGTGGAGTGAGGTATGTATAGTGTTACAACTTGTATAGTGAAGCAGTTGAAGGTAATTAAATAACCTATACTGCCTATAGCTGTAATAAACTGTCCTTTTAGTTCTATATTTCACAGTCGCATATTATTTATGCAGAAATATTTATGACTATGATTAACAGATGATATTACATATATATATATATATATATATATATATATATATATATATATATATATATATATATATATATATTATATATATATAGAGAGAGAGAGAGAGAGAGAGATATTATGTATGATATACATGCGTACGTACATTTGGCACGTTTTGTTTCTGTGAAACAGATTAGAGTTGCATCGCATGGGATACCATTAAGCCATCTCCATCACCGAACCACCAGTGATGAGGAGATGTGGAGAGGTGGCGAGAGAGACACACACGCACACAGAGAGATACACATAGAGAAAGAGCAGAGGAGGCATAATGCGGAGGAGAGAATAAAATCAAGAAGTTTATGTATATATACACACACCGAGAAATTGATACAATAGATGTGTTTGTGTTAATCTATCTGTCTATTTATCTATCTATCTATCTATCTATCTATGTATATATAATAATGTTTACCTAGAATGCTTATTCAGGAATTATCACTATGTATAGTAACAATTAAGAGCTAATAATACCTTATTATAGCTCAGCTCCTAGTTATATAGGTATTATTAGCTCTTGATTGTAATTATGCTTTTATCATTCTGAAAATATTATATAGGAAGGTTCGTGATTTCATATGTATATGTGTATAGTATTATATAATAATGTTTATCTGGAATGTTTGTATTCAGAAATTAACACTGTATTGTAGTTAGGGTATGTGTCCAAATATCTGCAGATATGATATGCCGAATATTTCATTATAAATTTTACAACTTTGATGTTTTGATGTTGATATTGAAAATAATATATATATATATATATATATAAGTATATATATATATATATAGTTGTAAATCATGTCGTTTATATTGTAAGTTATATTTTTAAACTGGATTAAACGTATTTTACTCTTAGAAAATGTGGCTTGATTGCATACTGTATGTGCAGCAGTTTCTATATGTCGTAAAACCAATTCCACTTCGTGTAGATATGCTCAGCTCGCGTAAACACTGATTTTGTTAGTATGTTTGTTTTCCATTAATATATATATATATATATATATATATATATATATATAACGTAATAGAACGTAATAGTAACGTAAATACAAACGTTATATTAACGTAATTGTGTCGGGGTTTTTTAACGTTATCAGAACCACGTTCAATAACGTTATATTTAAGTAAAAAAAGAACGTAATAGTAACGTAAATACAAACGTTATATTAACGTAATTGTGTCGGGTTTTTATAACGTTATCAGAACCACGAACAATAACGTTATTTTCAAGTTTTTAGTACGTTAGGAAAACGTTATTTTTAACGTTATAAAAACGTTATAAAAACCCGACACAATTCTCGTATTTATAACGTTGGTGTATAACGTTATCCAAACCAAAACATAACCTTAAAATAACGTTATGTGAACGTTTTTGTGTTAGCTGGGATGGCACCATTACGAGTGGCTGTAATTGGAGCTGGGCGTCAGGGTTGATTGCTGCCGCGCTGCTTGCTCACGCACGCAAGATTTCGAATTCGAAAGTCTATGAACGTGGAGATAACATCGGTGAGTGGAAGCCATGTATTACCTACAAGACATCTCCGTATAGAAAACGTATGTTATCAGTTGTTCGCCTGATAGAATTGTCTTTCTCATGACAAATGATCTAAATCGGTGGCATATAAGCAGCATGAAAACTTGTCGGAGAAAATCCCAAATCGTGACTGGCACAAGGACGTGGTTGATGTCCGATGCATTGTAACGTTTTTTGGAAGAGGATGTTAAAGTGAGGTTGAAGGGCCACCATATCTCCCCGTGCATCAATTAACGCTTGTAAACACCTGGAAGGTAGGCACTTACTTACTTATCCTCTTCACTCCCAGTGAAGCATAATGCCACAACAGAACTTCGTCATGCTGTACGGTCTTCAGCTCCGCCTCGACGGTCCGGCGCCAGGTGGTTTTTGGCCGTCTTCTTTTTTGTTTTCCTTGGGGTGTCCAGCGTAGTGCCTTTTTTGAGATGGTGTTGTCCGGCATTCTGAACACATGCCCAGGCCATCTGAGTCTGCGTTGTTTGATCTCCTCAACAATGCAGGATGAACTGCATGGTCTTGGCAATGGAACTTGAAGGTAGGTGATACGATGTAAAATGACGTCTCTCCTGCATCGACGATGAACGCCAGAGAGACGAGGATACCAATCAAGTTGACATGTCACACATAACTGGTAATGTCTACAGCGGTTTCTCTCTCGCTTCATTTATATTCAGGAGGTATGTGGCTATACACAGATAGGACAGGGCTGGGTAAAAATGGCTACCCAGTACACTCAAGTATTTACAAGAACCTATATCACCAACCTACCTACGCAGGCAATGGAGTTTCCTGATTTTCCCTTCCCTTCTGATCTAAGAGGAAAATTTATTCCCTGGCAAAAGGTTTTTTTTATTGATTTTGGCAATTGATTGTGTGCATATTAATTAGAAATAATTGTTCATGTGCTTGAATAGGATGAGGAGGATACAAATGGAGCATACTTGCAAATTATAACATTTTGACAGTATTATCATAAAAACCGCATTCAAACGCATTTCGTGATACTTTACGTAGGTGAAAGACTACCTCTTTGCCTATGCTGACCACTTCGACCTTCGCAAACACGTCCACCTGAACACAGATGTGGCGTCTGTAAAACGCATCACCACAAAGCCTGTCTCATCAGGAGATGCCCACCAATCTCCCAACAGACCACAGTGGTTGGTGCGCACGACTGCCCTTCAGGGAGGAGGCAGCAATGAGAAGGTGTTTGATGCTGTATTAGTCTGCTCTGGACACCTGAGTGTCCCTCACTATCCAGACATTCCTGGTCAGGAGAGCTTCAGCGGGGTACAGCTGCACAGCCACGATTACCGCCATCCAGAACTCTATACAGGTGCGCTGCTTTTACTGCTACAGGAATGCGCTTATTTTGATCTGCTGGATAACGAGAATATTTAAATTTCTATAGCAAATCCACTTTTGGTCTTGCTGCGCTTATGCGAGAATATTATGTCATACAATTGCTATCAACGAATATAATGGGTAACCTATTTTTACCGAACAGGCAAACGAGTGCTCTTGCTTGGAGGGTTTCAATCTGCATATGACATCATGATAGATCTCTACTCTCACACTTCCGAGCTGATCATATCACTGTACGAGCTAGACGTTCTAGGCCTGGGTGAGCAGTACAAGAAAGGGCTGCTACCACACAATGTGAGAACAACGACATTCCCGCAGGCGATCAACGGTAGCGTGGTGACGTTCACCGACGGTGAGACGTTCCAACCAGACGTGATTATTTTCTGCACCGGCTACAAGTATTCGTTCCCATTCCTCGACGCCTCGTGCGATGTCACTGTTAGCGAGGGTAAACGCATACAACCGTTATTCAAGCACATGATCCACAGCAGGTACCACACGCTCATGTTTATCGACATGGTTTATTTGCCTCTCGATTTCTCACTCGCGTACCTCCAGGTTCCATTCGCTCTTAAAATTCTTGATGGGTCACTGGCGCTCCCTAGCGAGCAGGAAATGAACAAGGAGATAGAAGCTGACTACCACGATCGGTTAGCTAGCGGACAGAAACCCCGCCACGCACACACTTACATATTTCCTCCCCGTTGGCTTCCGAGTTCATATTGCGATGATGTTGTTAGTTTCGCAGGCATTGAGAACAACATGGAATTAAAATGTCAATGTATCAACGCTGCCTTTGTTGAAGTGTGTAAAAATGTGATGACGTTCAGGGAGTATGACTACCTCGATCCTAAACCCGCTCAGTAAGGATGTGCGTACGACGAGTTGTAAAACATTTTGCAATTTGTAGTTCATACAAAGCATCTTTTGCACATTGGCCTATTTATATTTGCTGTTGTACTAACACACACATGAAGTTATAACGAGTTAAATGTTATAAAAACACCACGAAATCATTATATTGAGGAACATATCTCATTGAGAAATAGAAATAAACATTTAGTTATTGTTATTTATCTAGTTTTTGTTATCTCGCCAATGAATCTTTTCTGTGCAAGCGGCTTGCTCTTTTGCTGCACACTGTGACCATTGCATTAACTCTTTAACGTAAGAGCTAATATAGTAATTGGTATTGAAATGTAGTAGACGCGAACTTGAAGGCAGGGGCTCGGCTGCCGACCCAATGAGATCCGGTCACACTGCTTTTTTACAGTGCATTTGATTAATATCGCACAAATATCAGTGAAGCTTCATAGCGTTTTTTTATCGAGAGTTAAACGTGATAATCGATTATGATCCCTGATATCGATAAGGTTACTGATTGCTAGGGTTGTTATTACACATTCCTGTCTTTATAGAACAATAACACACTTTAATCATTAACATTGAAAATCGGTTGTTCATTTTCTCATTTTACATAGCACGCGATACACGAATAACATATTTTACTGCTGCGGTGATTAATATTTACGTGGCAGTAGTTTTAGATGCTCAATTAAGTAGCTCTAATGTAAACACATAGCAGGCAGGAACACACGCCTAAGCTGGTGCTATAGCCACATCGCCACTTGTGGAACGCAGCCGGTGAACAAGAGTATAGTATATTTATAAAATTGCTGTCGTGTTACGAAACATGCAAAAATCGCACAAAATCATGTAATGAAATTTGACACCCGCACACGCACGCACGCACGCACGCACGCACGCGCACACACACGCACGCACATTCCCGCGAATGATTGGCTAGCGGACAGTTTCTCTGCAACGCCCACAGGTACCTGATCTCTCCTTCTCGATCCATGGCGTCGGACTGCGGTGACATTCCTGCTTTCGCAAGCGTCGCTAACTTCGTGGAATTAAGGTATCGATGTGTCAATGGTGTGTTTGCTGGAATATGTAAAAATGCGATGACATTCAGAGCGTATATGACAATCTTGACCCTAAACCGGATCAGTAATGGTAACTATGAACGCGTACGCTGAGTTTTCTTAACAACCATTCCTATATACGCGTTGACCTATTTTCACGTGCGGCTAAACACACGCACGCACACACAAATCAGTATATATGGTGTAAGTTATTTGGAATAATCACTAATAGGTAAACGTTCATGCATCGTGTTCAAATTCACAGCTAGATAAAATGGCTTACAACTGTGCATAAAACAAAACACCGTGTCAAGAACGCATAAGCTGTAGTTAAAACCTGAAGCATCATCAAATGTATATATCAATCCCTGGTACTGATGAAGTTTTGTTACCGGGGTCGTGACTGCACGTTACCTGTAGTACAGAAGCCAATATACACTTCATAGTTTGTTATTGCACTTGTGTTGATGTCCGCATCTTTATTATTTATCAAAATAGCATAAACATTAATAAATGATAATTGAATGGTATACTGGTCTGATCTGTTAGCCCTTAATCCAGCAGTAGTTATAGTTTTGAAATTGAATTCAATAGATTTGATGCTCTTGTTACAGACACTAATTGGGGATATAATCTTTATTCTAGCATTTCTGGTTACTCGCAACGGCTTATATACCCGATAAGTATGGAAGCAGGAACCCGTCATAAACGCAACCACCCGACACGTGGTAATTCGAATTGCCACGTGTCGCTATTTAATTACAACACGTCGATAATATTTCCGACACGTCGCAATTCGAATTACAACACGTCTATCACAGTACGTCTAGGAGGTCCCTAACATTTCTACCTTCTATTACCATCACAGTACGTCTAGGAGGTCCCTAACATTTCTACCTTCTATTACCATCACAGTACGTCTAGGACGTCCCTAACATTTCTACCTCCTATTATCGACTCGCTACCGACACGACGCACAACCCCCACTAGAGGTAATTACTAGTAGTTTATACATTTAATTATAATACCTAGCGAATTGAATGAAATTGTAACTCAACATATTAGTTTACAACATGTTTAGTCATAAAAGAAGATCTATTGTTAACGTACATGCACCAATAAAGGTTTATGGATTTGCTGCCTCACCTAAATATCAGCCTTCGCCGCATCTTTGAAATGTACTCTGTATATCTTTACACGCAACAATATTATCACTATTATCACCTTTCACGTATCACTAACAAAATGTGACAAGCCATCACTATTGCTAAGCTGCTCAAAAGACATCTAAGTTGTCAGTACAACCAAGGCGGTGAAGCCAAGAAATGTACACAATGTTCTCATAGTATCACGTTTATCACAGAAAAATAATTCACATAAAAAGACTTACACTTTAGTTGTCTTTAAGCTTGTGAATCTATGGCACATTGCAAAACAAAATGTATTCCGCGTTTTAATACATGCGAATAAATCATTACGGTGACACTAATGTTGTAAGCTGACCGTATGCGCAAGGTATAGCAGAGACATTTACGCTCAAGGACGCTGAATTGACGCTTGAGGACGTCGGTCGGTGCAGGGGCCAGTATATTTTCCCGTTGTTTTTTGGCTTAGATGTGCCCATGACATTCAGCATCAAAAGTTACCCCTACTGAACGTCCTTGGACATTTCTAGAGCGCTCCATATTGATTTGCATTGGGAACAGACAAACAGACAGACATACATTCAGTATGTATTAGATATATTATATGGTCGGGCAACTTAGGTACATTGGACCATGGCCTAGCTGTCGCTCATTAGCAATGTCGTGGCTTGTATATTGAGAAGGCTACTTTGCCTTGCGGCGCGACAAAAGTTGTAGTTCCAGTGGAGCGAGTAAATGTAACTTTGACCTACTTCCTTCTGTAAACAACTACCATGAGGCTAGTAGGAATACGCGAACCCAGAGGCACAAGTCGCGTGTAGCTGTCAGACTAGGAAATATGTCGCTTTAGGGATAGGCGTATGTATAACCTTGACGCACTCAATACTCGTAAAATAACTCGTACATGAAGAGTAAATGGGACGAGGGAAACACAATATCAGTAGACGCAAGTCGCATAGCTGGACTGCAGATACAACTCATTCTTTATAAGATCATAAGCTGCGCAAATTAAGTTTAGTGTCAGAAAAGTACATGCATTATTAAAAACAACTATATCTAAACAACATTTAACGTCACACATGATGATCACGCGCGGTAACAAATCATGTAACAAATCCGTATTTTTACTATCTTCTCTTTAACAATACCGATTCTAATGACCCGCACAGACTGCAAATTTGATCATATAGTCAAGCTAAATAATTAACAAATTATTTTGAGCAATGCAAATGTAAAATACATATTACAGTTACACTGGTCTCTATATAATCATCATGTGTTAAACATCTAGTATGGCACCATTACGAGTGGCTGTGTTTGGAGCTGGGCCGTCAGGGTTGATTGCTGCAAAAATAATTTGGCCCTATTATATATCACTCAATTATCAGCTTTCGCTGCATCATTGAAATATACTCTTTATATCTTCTTGCGCAACAATATTATGCTATTTTTTATCACCTATTACGTATCATTAATAAAATGTGGCAATTAAGTCATCACTTTTCGTCTATCTATCAACTCGTCAACTTTTCATCAGAAGGTTCATGGTGTAAATATTGATGTTGTTAATATTAGCACCTATTACATTTGACTAATAATTATGTGGTTATCACAATTGCTAAGCTATACTCTGGAGACTTGTATACACCTACACATGTCTTTCAAGCGACAGTGTTCATTCTGAAAGCGCCTTTTACCACAGCTAAGGCGGAAATACTATGGATATGTGCAAACATTTCTCACATCCCGTCTATTGCAGCAGATGATATACTTAGAAATGCTAACGTCTTAGTAGCCGTTAGAAATTAACCGTAACCCAAGCGACAACATTTATGTCAAACTGTAAAGAGGTTTTTAAATACACGCGAAGCTCCCACAATCGTGAAGATCTCGTGACCCATGTATTCTCGCGTTCTAACTACGTCATGTAGTCTAAATATATTTGTTGTCGCAGTTATTATGGCCGGACGTTGTCGTGTGTGCACTGGAAAGAAATGTCTATAATTTTTCCAAATGTCTTCAAATGTTAACGTTGGTCGTTGTCGCCGCAGTCTTGTCCAGTTAAATGTGATTGTCCCCACTATACCGTGTGATTGTCCCCACTATCCCGTGTGATTTTCCCCACTATACCGTGTGATTGTCCCCACTATACCGTGTGATTGTTCCCACTATACCGTGTGATTGTCCCCACTATACCGTGTGATTGTCCCCACTATACCGTGTGATTGTCCCCACTATCCCGAGCTATACGGGGAACACAGAGTTATAGTGTTAATTATGTTCCTAGACTTTACTAATGATCGATAGCCATCTGGGGCACCATACTACAGTTTGTTAGTGACACGATCTTTACCAATACGAGTATAACCTTGGCCTTTGCTTAACTCTAGTGCAAATAAACTATCCGGGGGGTGAAAAAACGCAAAACCGGTAGGTGCTAACGTCGCCTAGGTATACGGCTATAACTAAGACAGTGAAGTCCCATGCAGTAGCGTATGCACACGCAAGTTGTTCTCTGCAAGAATACAAGCAACTCAAGGTAAGTTTACTGTTAGAATGCGCGTTTTCGAGAAATAACGTATACATTTTTAAACGTAACAAATTGTAAACAACATTCAAGATCATACAAAAAATTCTACACATCAAAAAGTATATAAAGAAATGTATATGTCGGTTTCATGCTTGAGTAATACAGTAGCATACATTCGGACCGGCTTTATCTGGCCTCAAATAAACGGGCGCATGTGTTTGAAAAACAATCCTTACGCATGTTAGTTTAATCGGATAAACAAGACAGGACCTCGGTTAAACGGAATATTATCTGCAGGACAAACTTAATTTAAGTGACCGTCGTAAAACAATC